TTGAGCACAACAACTACCAGCTGCAATGTACTCTGCTTCTGCTGTTGATGTAGAAATGGAGTTTTGTTTCTTACTGAACCAAGAAACAAGATTTCCACCAATGAATTGACAAGTACCAGATGTACTTTTCCGGTCAACTTTGCATCCGGCAAAGTCAGAATCTGAGTATCCCACTAACTCAAATGAATTGCTCTTAGCATACCACAAACCCATGTTCTGAGTTCCTTTGAGGTATCTAAGAATCCTTTTAGCTGCTATCAGATGACTTTCCTTTGGCTTTGACTGGAATCTGGCACAAACACCTACTGCATATGAGATATCCGGACGGCTTGCAGTAAGGTAAAGTAGAGATCCGACAATTCCTCTGTAGAGAGTTTGATCTACATCCTTTCCATCTATATCCATATCAAGCTTGGTGGATGTATTCATGGGGACAGAAACGGATGATTTCTGATCAACCTTGAACTTCTTGATAAGATCCCTTGTATACTTGGCTTGATTGATGAGAGTGCCTTCACTTCTCTGTTTGATTTGAAGGCCAAGGAAGTAGTTGAGTTCCCCCATCATGCTCATCTCAAATTTTCCTTGCATGAGGGTTGAGAACTTGGTGCATAGATCATCCTTAGTTGAGCCAAATATGATGTCGTCCACATAGATCTGAACTAATAGGAGATCTTCTCCATCTTGTAGTATGAACAATGTCTTGTCAATTACTCCTTTGGTAAATCCATTGTCTATAAGAAATTGAGACAATGTATCATACCAAGCTCTTGGTGCTTGTTTGAGTCCATACAGCGCCTTTTTGAGTCTATACACTTGATCTCCCTTAGTGTGTAACTCAAATCCTGGAGGTTGTTCCACATATACTTCTTCCACTAGGTTTCCGTTGAGAAATGCGCTTTTGACGTCCATTTGATAGACCTTGAAGTCCTTATGAGCAGCAAAGGCTAGAAACAGCCTTATAGCTTCAAGTCTAGCAACTGGAGCGAAGGTTTCATCAAAGTCTATACCTTCTTCTTGACAATATCCTTTTGCAACTAACCGGGCCTTGTTTCTGACAACAACGCCGTTTTCATCCATCTTGTTCTGGAAGACCCACTTTGTCCCTATGACATGTTGATGAGTAGGTCTGGGAACAAGTTTCCAGACATCATTTCTGGAAAACTGGTTGAGTTCTTCTTGCATTGCATTGATCCAATCAGAATCAGCTAGAGCTTCTTCAATATTCTTTGGTTCTACTTGTGAGATGAAACAAGCAAGCATAGCTTCTAGATTCTGTTGGGCACTCCTTGTGCGAACACCAGATTGAATATCTCCGATGATCTGTTGAGGAGGATGATTCCTTAACCAACGAAGATTGTGTTGATTGGGATTGACTGGTTGAT